TGAAGTGTCCTGGCCAGTTGAACTTGGCAGCCCACGTCTGGAAAACAATCTGGGCATGGCCAGGAGATGCACTGAAGAGTCCTGGCCTGGTCATGGTGCTTTAGCTCATGGATGCAGCATTTAGCAGCATGGCCCTTGGCCCAGCCACTCTGGCTGGGGATCATTTTATTTAATAATACAGACAGGGGCAGTGAGGTGTGAATGAACTGTTGCTGTTGGGGCCATATGCAGTTGAGAGCAGCACAGAAACCTGGGTAAGAGCCTTTGCTGTTTCCTCCCTGCTGCAGTGAGATCACAGGACGAGACGTGCTCTGATGGGAACATTAGAGGGGACCATGTGTCACTTTATTTTGCATCTGACTCAGGGAGCCTGTTCACACGAACACTGGAACAGTGTGTGGCTGTCAGAAAACAGAAAATAGCTGTTTAAATATCAAAGATTATTTCAGAACTCCAATTGTCTGAGTCGCAGCTCCAAGTTTCAGTGCTGGGAGGGGAAACTGGTGTGAAATGAGATGGGACAGCAAAGGTGATGCTCTACCTGCCTACCATTCCTTCTCCAATGAATTATCCGTGGTACTGGGTCACCTCAGTCCAGCTTGACTTCCCCAAAATATTGAGTATTTTATGTTTTAGTTTCCTGCTGTCTCTCCATGTAGTAGTACAAGCTTATACTACAAGGGTACATGGCAAGATCAGAGGAAAAAGCAGCCCCCAGGCTTCCTGCTAGCAAGGAGCTGAGTTCTGAAGCCCAGTTTTTAGCACCAGCTTCTCCAGACCTCTGGAGAACTTTAAGCCATCAGTGGTGATTGCCCTTTTTCCATAGCAAGGAACATGTGTTAAATATAAGGAAATACCAAAAAGAGTCACCAAACTCAGCTGTTTCCTTTTTGGGTTTTTATTTTATAGTAAGAAGAGAAAAGCTTTCTGAAATTTTTTCTCCTACAAGAAGAATGCTTTGTAATGCTGATTTGTCTCTTAAGCTTCCTCTGAAATGTCTTTGAGAAAGAAATGAACCCTGAGGCAGGATCGACATGAAAAGGGAACCGGGAGCAGCGCTGAGCCAGGGGGTTGTGCAAAGGATAAATGCTTGCATGGATATAAGAAGGGATTGGGCCAATTCAAGAAACAGAAATCCACCATGGGGGTGCTAATTTAGAGTTAAATAAAAGATGGGACACAAGCCCTGGTGTGGCTGCAGGTGCTCTCCCAAGACAGGGCCAGGCTCAGCACTGGCATCGCTGGCACCCGGGACTCATCCTGGGGGCAGCTGGGACAAAGCTGCAGCAGGGATGCTGGGATGCTGGAAATCTCTCACTGTTATTTCATCTTCTGCAGAAGGGTGGTTTGGCCAGGCAAAATCAGGAAAGAGGGCAAAGTGATATACAGATGCTACAAAAGGGGCAAAGTGATAAACGGATGCTACAGAAGAGCGCAGCATGTGACAGCAACCTGGAGCAGCTCTTGGGAGCTAAAAGGGACCCCATATAACACAGCAAGAGGGACTATTTGTTGTGGCAGGACACAAATGCTAGGGGCAAGGCTCTATACGGTGAATACCAAGCTCATCCTGTCCCCCCAGGCTTTCCTCAGCATACTCCCTGTCTGTTTCTGCCAGCTGCACGTAATTCCTACACAGCTTAGTAAAGTGAGCATGGGATGGCAGCGTGAGGCCCTCTGTAATCTGGTCTCAGCACGCCCCAGGCACAATATTCACCTCTCCACAGCCCAGTTTCCCCGTGTAAGTTGGATGATGATGAGATCTGTTGCCACTGCCGTGTTACATCACACGTGTGGCGAGTGATTCATTGCGCGCAGAGCTCTGAGCGCACGCAGGGCTTCGGCAGCCGCCGCTCCTTCCAGCACTGTGCCTGGCCATCACTGCAGCCCTTCTCCACCTATCCCTCGCCTTCCTCCCATCCCATTTCCTTCAGCCTTTGCCCACCATCTCTGGAAAGGAGGCACCTGGTCCCTGGCCCCTTGGGACGTGATTTCCTGGCAGGCAGGACTCGGCAGGATTTCCATGACAGAGCCAGAACCTGGAGCTTCTCCACCCGTGCCTCTGCCCTGCTGTCACCTGCCACCCATCTGCCACGTGCCTGCACGTGTGTTCCGTCCTCCCTCGTGCCTGAGTCCCTGGGAACCTCCAGCAGCTCCGGGGAGATGTGGGATACAATCTTTTTCAGGGCTGAGGGTCTGACTTGCTCCATAGCGAAGGATGCTGGGATCCAGGGGCTCAGCAAAGAGGGACTAAAGTGGGCCCTGATCAGAGGGCTGGAAATACCTGGCTTGGAAATATGGCAGGGAATAACAAGCTGCTGAGCACAGAGCACAGTTACAGCAAATCCAAAGGCAAACCAATAAATGCTCTGAGGAGAGCTCAGTTTTAGCGCCGGGCTTTGTTTACAGCAGCCACCAAAAGCTGGGGTGTGGTGAATTTACCATCAGGGCTATTTTTATCTCAGGTGTTCTAAAAGACTACTGCCTTTGAGGAAAAAGCTGTTTCTGGGATGTGCAGGGTTGCACCAGAGATCATGAGGGATGATCATCCAGGCCCCTTTTGTTCTCATAATCTAGGAGCTTCAAGTTACATCTCTTAATCTCTTCTTAGAAACCCCAGGGCCAGTGAAACTCAGGTTAATGACTGCTAGAGTTTACACACCCTGGCACCACAAATATTTCTGACTCAATAATTCTTCAGGAATTCATGATGGGATGACAAGGAAAGCATCTCCATTGATTTTGTGTGTTCTGCTGGGGCAGGACCATGCTGTTTTCTGAATGATGTGGTGGTAAAAACTCCCATTTCCCTTAAAAATCTATTTCTCACCATGTATAAGACAAAAATTGAAGACCAGATCAAGGATGTGATTTCTGGTAACCTATAGAAAATGTTGAGCAAAATCAATTAGTACAGTCTTTATGTGGCTAGAAGGATCTGTCAGTTGAAATATATATATGTATATATATACACATACATATATGGGCATATATACATACATACATTTTTCTATACATCCATATGTATGTATACATACAAACACATGCACACATGGAATTGTAAAATTGAAGAATGTTAAGGATTTGGAAAGGACCTAAAAGATCATCTAGTTCCAACAGCCTGCCCTGGGCAGGGTCACCTTCCATTAGACCAGGTGGCTCAAGGTCTTGTCCAGCCTGGCTTTGGACACTGCCAGGGCTGGGGCATCCACAACCTCGCTGGGCAGCCTGTTCCAGTGTCTCACCACTCTCACGCTAAAATAATTCTTCCTAATATTCAACCTAAACTTCCTCTCTTTCAGTTTGTACCTATTATTCTTTGTCCTGTTGCTAGAGCTTCTCTGGCTCCTCTGCAGGTTCCCCTGCAGGTACTGGAAGGTTGCTGTGAGCTCTCCACACAATCTTCTCTGGGCTGCACAGCCCCAACTTTCTCATCCTGTCTTTGTGTCAGAGGTGCTCCAGTCCTCTTATCAGCTTCACTGCTCTTCCCTGGACATGCTCCAACAGTTCCATGTCCTTCTTATGCTGGGGACACCAGAGCCATAGGCAGGATTCCAGGTGGGGTCACACAAGAGCAGAATGGGGGGTGAGGGAAACCTGCTGGCCACGCTCTGGGGACTCTGCCAATGACTCTGTGGGACTTCAGTGCTGCGCAGCACAGGTAAGTGGACATGGGCACACACACCTGCCCACAGGCACACGCACACACACACACACACCTGCACATGGACACACACCTGCACATGGACACACTTATTAAGAATTAAATTAACACAGCTCATTAAGAATTAAAATAAACAAACATGACAGGGATTTGCAGGTGACCATGGCTGCGGAAATGCCCTTTAGCCCTTCCTGCCCTGCCTGCCAAGCCCTGCTTTGACTTAATGTTGCTGCTCCCAGCACACATCAGGGCTCTGCATGAGCTGAGGCAGCCAAAATGCCAGCAGGAATTGACTGAACAGTCCCACAGCATCCTTCTTTTCTTAGTTCAGTCCTTCATGTCTACCCAAAAGCCCCCAGCCAAGAGACTGCAGCCTGCTACCTTTGGATAATGTTTAGGTGTAGCAAAGAGGACATTTTGAGGAAGGAAACAATAAATAAATGAGATGCTTTTTTGATAGGTGGAAGCTCAATATACCCAGAATGAGAGCGTAAAGAGATACCAAGCAGATGAACACACCAGACATATTTTGTAAGCCCAAGTCAGTTTCAGGAGAGCTAATGACAATCACCCAACTATCCATCACCATTGATAAATACAGGTTCTTGTCCTCATCCCCCCGTGTGCAGGGGCCCTCAGTGCTCTCTTTAATCTTCTGTGCCAGAGAGCAGTTTTATTGTCAGTAACAGTGCTCAGCTCTATGTTCACTTTGTGCTTGCCATCCTTTTCTCTCCAGGAGTTAGCACTGAAAGTCCTCTAAATAATAAAACGGAACCCCAGAGCCTCTCCTGTGCAGAAACACTTAACACCTGATTCAGTCTCTGCACACCTGCGCATGGACACACACACCTGCACACACACACCTGCACACAGGCACACACACAGACACACACAGACACACACAGACACAGACACACACACACCTGCACACACACACAGACACACAGACACATACCTGCACACAGACACCTGCACACGGACACACACTGGCACACAGACACACACACACCTCCACACGGGTGCGCACACGCACGCGCGCACACACACACACACACACACACACACACACACACACACTCCTGCACAGGGGCACACACACCTGCACACAGGCACACACACCTGCACGCAGGTGAGCGGGCGCGCAGGGACGGGACTACAACTCCCGCCATGCCCCGGGGCAGACAGGGGGCGTGTCCCGGTTCAGGCCCCGCCCCGCCGGTGTCCGCGCGGTGAGGCGGGGCGGGGGGCGGCGCGCGGTAGTCGGTGTGAGGGCGGCGGAGCCGGCGGCGTCCATCGGCATCGGCTGCAGCTCCGCGGCCGCTTCTCGGCAGCTGCTCCCGACCTGCGGCTCCAGCTCCGGCCCGTCGGAGGTGAACGCTCTGAGGCTTCTCCCCTTGTCGCCCAGTGAGAACTATCGCCGTCCGCGCGGCCGTGAGGAGGCTGAGGCTGCCCCTTCCCCCCGCTCCCGGCCTGCCGGCGTGGGGTGCCTCTTGTGCGCGTTTCCTTCCTCCCCGCGGTGAGTATCGCGCCTGTCGCGACACAGCCCCATCCCCGCGCCGCTGCCGCAGGGCTGGGGGGCCTGCCCGGGGCCTGCCCCTTCCCTGCCTTCATCGGGCTCCTTCCTCCCCTCCCGCCGCCCTGCGCGCTTTGTACTGCGCCTCGCAGGGCTCCCTTGTTGTGGTTGCTCCTAAAATAATTCACCGTTCTTTTCTTTTCTTTTTTTTTTTTCCCCACCGGGATTTGGGAAGTTTTTGTTTTCTTTTATTTTATTTTGCCTTTTTTTTCTTGGTCTTTTTTTGTTTAATTTTTTTTTTTTTTTTTGCTTCCCACCCGCCCGGAGCTGGCCCCGCTCTGGGGCTGAATGTGCTGGGGAAGCTCTTTGTCATGGAGCGGCTGCCGAGCCGTCTGCTCTCGGGAAAAACATCACTGAAAAAAATAGGAAAAAAAAAGTCTCTCAATACTTGAGCACCAGGGTTCTGTTGAATTCGGGGGTGGATGGGTTTTTTTGGCGGGGGCGGCGGTATATGTGTATTTTTTGGGGGTGAGAGCGAGTTCTCCCCCCGCCTCCCCCGCCAAGTCCATTGATCGCAAGCTCCCGTGCCGGAGCGCGGAATGGGAGCAGCACGCAGGCGGGTGACAACAAAACAAAGGGGGATTTTCTTTGCCTGTTGTTAACCTGAAAGATCTTTCTGGGAAAGCTTGCTTCTTTTTCTTTGGATTTTTTTTTTTTTAAATCCCTAGCTCTTCCAAATTTGATGATGTTTTACTCTGAAAAAATCTAACTGGGCGGTGGGTAAGTTGTGTCTTTGATTTTAAGATTCTTTGGGAAATTGCAGCGTTTCTCTCCCATCTCCTCAGCCCTGGCTCTTTTGTGAGCAGCCCGCCGTCCAGTGCAACTTGTGTCCGGTTTTTCTTTTCACTCTTGTTTTCACCTAGTTAAATAATATGTTTTCATGATCTAGTACGAGGGGGACGTTTCTGCCTGCAACAGCTGTAGAGAAGATATTCAAAAGGCAGGGAAGAGAAGGACCAGTTGTGTTTTTTAGCTGAATAATTTTCCTCTGATAAATGGTATATTTTAAAACAGTCACGTTTTTATACCGGAAGCATTTTTCTTACCCCTACCCCCCTTGTTTTTGTTTTAAATACCACCTCGAAATCTGCAGTTACTTCACCTCTGCAAAATGCAGCTTCTGGAATACACGCGAGCAAAAAGCAGTCTGGCTGTAATGCTGCTGTTTCTGGCCTTACAGGCCACCCCTTTTTGGTATTTTTTTTCTGGGACTCCTCTGCCCTGAAAACACTACTTGGTAAGGAAAATTACAAAGCCTTTCAGCTAGCTAGAAGCTGGCGCTCCTACATCTGAAGGACGATAGGTTTATTTTTTTTTTTTTTTTTTTTCATTTTGAACGCGTATGGGAGGCGGGGGGAGACCCGGGGAAAAAAAAGCCGTTTCCGGTTTCTGTTCAGCAGCGTTTCGGATTTTTTTTCCCACAAAGAAGCAGCCAGATGACCTGTTGATGACACATCTTGAGTTGCTTTTTGTTCCAGAAGGCGCCTCTGTAGGTTAGTGGCGATGGACGGGCTGCCCACATCTTCGTTTGCATGTGTTGTTGTGCGGTCTGTGCGGCTTTGTAATGTTTTAGGCCCACAATTTTGGAGTGAGTAATGTGGAGCCGAAGTTTAGACGTCTGCCCAGGACATTTCCCCCTTTCCTCTCCACCACAGTCCTTTCCCCCATGAAAAAGCATGGCTTGCTGAAAACTGAGCATTGGTAGTTGGAAAATTAAGCTCTCTTGGTGCTGTGCAGGAGAAGTGTCCTAACTCTTTGAAGTCGTGTGAATGGCCTGGCAGGAAGCTTTAGGAATGCATTTTGATTGTATGTAGGTTGCTGCTGGGTACCTTGAGCTTCAGCATCTCCTATTTCAAATGAATTAAACATGTAGGAGCACCTACTGTTACGCTGAGTAAAGTCGTGTAACACGCACCTCATGAATGTTTCCATTCTTACTAAACACTGGAATGTATTTCTCAACACAGCAGGTCACCGTGCTGGTGTTCATCTTAGAAATTTACATTTTTTGTAACTACTAGGGTAATTCCAGTTAAAGACAAATTTAATGTACTACCTTTGCTACAACCATTTTGTATTTTGGAGGCAATATTGGTTTCTATTAAGAAACCAGACATGGAAAACAGGATCCTTTCACTTCAGCATTTACAACTAGTGGCTGAGTTTGTAGTTACAAAATAGAGGATCATGTGCTTGGAGCCAGTGGTATTTAAAACTCTTATTCATTTGTAAGGAGCTAATTACAAGTATTTTTTGATATAAAATGCCTTTTCAGTCAGGACCTCTGGAATACAGGAAAGTGGAAAACCCAAAGCTGTTGTAGATGCTAATCCATGCCCTGAGCAAAAAAAGGGAGAATGAGGGTGTTTCATAAGAAATCAGTCACCTTTAAGTGCATACTTGTAAGTGAAATTACACAGTGATCAGCAATTCCTGCTGGCTGCCAGTAATTGGAGGTACTTGTTGCTGGCTGGTCACCGTGCTCCTTGCTGGTTAGATTGTAAAAGTCTTGACTGATGATCAGGATGAAAAAGTCCAGCTCCTTTGCCTCCCAGACATTCATTCCTTGATCTCCACATTCACAAGCGTGCTGACAAACTGTCAGAGGAAGTGACAGCAAAGATACGGGGTAGGAAGTAGGTCAGCACGGCTGAACGCTGCTGAGTTTCAGTGGAAAAACGTGAGCATGTTTCCATCTGCTCGTGTTTCTGTTTCCTTTCAACCTGCCGGTTAGCAGGGTGCACCAGGAAGTGTCACACTGCTGCTGCAGCTCCCCAGTCCCACTGAAATTAATGTTGCACCTCCAGTCAGGCCCAGTTAGTCCACCTGGGTGTAAAGATTCATGGGGAGGAAAGTCAAACAGCAATTTAGTTACAAAAAATGGTGTCAGGCAAAGCTGTAGTGGCTCTGTGCCTCTCAGGAGGTGGTGGGCAGGTTGTGGATGCATTTCCCTGTCCCTGTGCTGCTGTGGGCTGTCCAGTGGTTCCTTGGGGTGGGCTGGGACAATAGGGGAGCATCATGGCACGTTTGTTGTGGCCTTAACATTTTGTAATGGCAATTAGTAGCTACAAGTGATTGTGTTTCTTCTTTAAAATGTTTCAATCTATGTATTAAAAAGCCTACCTTTCAAATTAAAAAAGATGGAAGCTTTTTCCTGCTAGAAATCCTTCTGAAACTTAAAAAAAAAAGGCAAGCTCTACTTGTTTCTGCCTTCTGCTAAAAACAGTAAAAACTCTTTGACAATAACTTGATTTCCAGAAAAATGACTGTTTTGCACACTATGAGTATGTTCTCTCACAAGTATCCTGTATTGTTATTGGTTTGAAAAGAAGCTTTTCCTTCAGGCAGGCAGAGGTTCTTGCGTGCTTTGCATGAGTGAGTGCACAGCCTTTGGGCTGCCTAGGTGAGCCCTGTGGCATGGCCCTCTTTTGCTGACCCATGTGACGTGATTTGGAGCACCAAATGTTCCTGGCTGCTCAAAGTGCCCTTTCTGGAATAACCCTGTACGGTGAGGCATTGTGAAATAGCTGACTGGAAGCTCCAGGCTTTGCAGGAGAAAGTGTTGTCCCCTGCTGGCACCCTGTGCTGGCGGTGGGTGCTCATCAGCACCAGTCCTGCTCCAGCAGTGTCTCCTGGCTGCCGTGTGAGGTGGCACTTGGGGACGTGGGCTCCAGTGTGAGCGAGTCAGCAGCTTGTTTGGTTGGGGCTGAGTGCAGTGCCTGGCTGGGAGTGTTTGGTTAAGGATTGATGGTGTCCTCTGCAGCCTGCCATGCAGGAGCACGGCACAGTGCAGGAACAGGTAATAAAAGTTAATCTGCTGACCTTGCTTTTAATCCATGCTGCTGGATTTAATCACAGGGACTTGAATGCCACCCATGGTACTTATGTAAATGCTGAATTTTGGGCTTGAATCTCATACTCCAGAGCAGAGTGGACTAAACCTTGCAGTGAATTTCTGGCTGTGGTTTCAGGAGTGGGAGTATCCTATAATTTTACTCTTCTAATTAAAGCTATATTGCAGTTTTTAGATTAGAGGCGGTCAAAACCTCTCACTCTGGTCCAGTAATTATATTCCTGTCAGGAAGAGGATTTGTTCAATTCACACTCACTTTCCTTGTTCACCTGTATATGTTGTAGAAGAATTGGGATATGTGTCAATGCTGGCTCCAAGTGCTCTTGGTCTGCCTTGGTGTTGGCTAGACAGCCATGCCAACCAGATGGTTTTCTGTGCCAGCCTTGTTTGTAGAAGTTAATTGCATAAATGTGTTTTTAGAAGGGAGAAAAGCATTCCTTGTGAGAGGGGTTTTTTTTAATAGAGATATTTGGGGCAGGGAGATGCTGGTCTGGCTACATCAGGGTGTGTGTATATGTGTGAACAGCAAGGAGGGTATTGAAAGACTGTGGTTAAAAAGGGCCAAACCAGAAATGATCTCTGGAATATTTTTTTTTTGTTATTATTAAGGGTGGTTGATAATATGAATAGCTACTAGTTAATATTTTGTGGATTTATTGAGGTTTTGTGTGACTGGGATATATGAATGTGTAGGTACTTGCAGGTTATGGGTTTGGAGTAAGTTAGTAAAGTAGGATTCTGTAGGGGATAGTTTGTTGGAGCTAGGACTTGAAGATACAAAACCAGAAAAATACCCCAAAGCAACCAAAACCCAGAAAAATAATAAAGCACAAATCCCTGCCTAGCCAAAATTTTCTTTTAGGTAGACCACTGTCAATGGGTTTTTTCCTTCCATTGCCAATTGATTCACCTGTCTGGATGTACTTAACTGCTTCTATTTCAAATTTGTAATGTTTCTGTAACTATATAACCCTTTGGGTTTTATTACAAATGCTTTAAAATGCTCTTTTCTGAGCTGGGGTACCTTTTTGCCTTACTTGATGGACAAGGTAGGGAATAGAATTTGAATTTGAGGGCACTGATTTGGTTT